TGAACTCTCGTTTTTTGTTTGATTTCCCCCTCACGACCTGCTTCTTCAACTAAAACTCAATATGCTATGAAATTCTTTGATCGAACCAATTTTTTTTCTTCAACATACTCCATTACAAATGACTGAAAATAAGGTCTCACCAAAGCTATTTCAGATGATTCATTTGAATTCAAAATTAAGATGAAGGAGCCAATGAATCAAAATTCTCCAGAACTTTAGTTTTGACCTTCGGATTTGGCTCCTCTTCCTTGCCACTAAATAAGCCACCAAACCACAACCAAGATGATGATGAGTCAGTAGATGGTGGCTGGCTTTGATTAGGTAACTGAAACCTTAAAGGCATGTTATGAGGTGGTTGTGGCGGTCGATCATACTCAGCCTCTACGCCCCGCGTACCCCGCCCTTGACCAAAAACGGGCAGTTGACCACCTACGCCCATCGTACGCCATGGTACGCTCGGCGTATGCCGTAGCCATGCAAAACCTTCATTAAGTGCTTAATACAACAAGTCCAAACGTCCAAATTTAGATGTAAGCCTAAAAAGGTGTTCCAAACCATAAAGTTTCCAACTTTATGGTTATGCATGCCTTAATAAGTCCTAAAACCAAAACCTTATTTTGTCTTAACCACTTAAGACCTCTATAAATTGCATGCAAGCACCAAAGGAGTCAAGATAGCGTTTTTACGACTTAATGCACATCAAATCTTTTGAAAGGACATATCCTTTGGTCTTAGAGTAGCTCATACTCATTAAGGCCAAGAAAAGGGACTAAAACACATAAAACTTCCTATGGCAAGATCTTAAGGAAATACAAGTCAAAATCAAAGCTTTATACCATTTGGAGCTTCCCAAAGAGGCAAAGATCCCAGATCTACAAACTTGCTTCCACACCAAGGCTCCTTAACGAATCTTCTTTCTTCCTTCAACACACCAAAAGCACACACTTAAGCTCAAAACACACATTCAATGGCTAGCGTTTGCAAAAATGTCTCAAAGGAAGTGGAGGCTGAAGAGGTGAGGGAAAATGCGGCTTAATGTTGCTTAAATACCACCCAAACCCTAAAAATTAGGGTTTTTCTCATTTAGCTAGTACGCCCTGCATACATACGTATACACCCAGCGTACTACGGCTCACCCTAGTACGCTCAACGTATACACATGTACACATGGCGTACTCTTCCTGACTTAATTACGAAATTGCCACTAGGGCTTCCAAAATGACATGAAAGAAAATTATAAGGATGAATTTAGAAGTAACTTAATATTGGGATGCTAAATATTGGAATTTGGGCCTTTCTTGGAATTAGGCTCATGACGGTTTTTGTGCCCAATTAGGAAGTTAGGTCATATTGGGCTTTGGATTGGGCCTTAGATTTTGGGCCAAGTGAAGAAAGGGTAAAATGGACTTTTTCCCGGAGTGTTGGACAACCAGACTAGAATTCTTAGCTTGGGTTATGACCCACTTATTAATTGGGTTTTATTTGATTGGTTAGAGCGGGGATTTTCCGGATCGGCATTCTGAGCTTCTATCTGAGATACCTAGCAGTTGAGATGAGTTTCTTCACTGTGTTTGGCGGTTCGAAGGCACTACTGCCAGCCCATGGTTTATTCTGATTAGGATGCTAGTTTTCTGTGTGTCTCTTTCATGTATGATATCTGATATGTATACCGGGCGGGATCCAATGCCAGGCGGGGCCTGATGAGTATATTGTATATTATTTACTTTGTGCATATCGGGCTGATCAAGCCATCTGATTAGTGGTGGGCTTCCTAATAACTTCTCAGAGGGTTTCACTTCATAGCTTAATCTAAAGACAAATATTGAAACATGCAGTGGAATTATTAGATTATAATCTGAAATATACAAACAACTTTTACAATGGTAAGCATGATGGAATTCGAGATAAGGTAACATCAAGGTCGTGCTAAAAGTAAATCTATAGAAAGTTCAACCAGATTCTGCAAGATTCTTGTAAGAATCACCATAGAAACAAAAAAAAAAATTGGTGAGAAGCAACATTAGAAATTGGCTATGGTTCCATAATATTACATGTTTATATGTAGTAATACTTTTATTAGAATCTTATATAACAAACAAAATTCTTGCACAATCTTATTTGAGAAAAAAGTGAATAGATTATCAAACAGTCGTAAATAATACCAAATCTCTGTAAGGTTTCATCACATAATGGCCCACATGAAATTAAATGGGTATTAACTATATAACATCAACCAAGAAAAAAATCCATAAAAATAATTACAAATTAAACCTGGTGTGCATAAGATAAACAACCTAAAATCAGTAGTTTTAAGAGTAGTGTCAGCATGTTGGTAGCAACTAAACCTGAAATAAAAAAATCCAGATCGAAATATAAATTAGAATCAAAAGATCAAAATGGAGGTAAATGAAAGTTTAAATAAAGAAACGCTTGCCATAATGGAAAAGAAATAGTAGAAACTCACTTGACATAAATGATTAATGAAATAAATAATAATTTTACTTGGAGGGTGTTGTAATATGTTGGAGACGGTTATGCAAAGATTATCGACTGGTTCAATGCTGATGCCCTCTCCTGATATCACAATACAAAAACGAAAGGTAGAACATTAGTCGTCGTCCGGGAAGGATTCCCGGAACGAGGCTCCGACGATCTAGTTAGTGTTTTCTCCGAGAAAAGAAAGAATGTTCAATTGAAAGAGAGTCCTCCCTTCTTCACGAGGAAGAGGGAACCTTTTATAATTGGTTTCAGAGGCATGTGGTCCTCAACAGATTCTGTTAGACATTCCTTCGTGGGGCGTGACGTGGGGGACTCCTACTAGAAGATCCTTCGTCACGTCCCTTTTTGCATCTTCTCCTCATTGGCTAGAGGAGGATCTTTTAGTTATTACGAAGATCGTGACTATCGTCTGACAAGAACGTGGGGCGCTCTGTATGGTCCTATGCTTGCCGGGATGTTATCCCTTGGTGAAGAGATTATAGCGTTGTTATGCACCATAACTGTCACACCTATGTCTTTTGCGTAGGCGAAGGCCTAGCCTTGGCTTCGAACTTGGTCTAACTGAGTTCAGCTCAGGCCAAGCTCGGTACTAGTTTTGACCTTTCTTTTTGATGTTCCCTCTAAGGGATACGTTAACAAGTCCTTTAGGCTTGTAGGCGTTTGTGTTGGCCTGATAGCATCGACGTTCGAGCCTATTTCTCAACACGTGTACGCCTGGGATTATTTCTAACTTGGAATGGGTTTTTGACAGTATCGTTATCGTACGCCAGCCCCGAGAAAAGGGGGACAATTTTGTGCTGCCAGTTGTGTCTTTAAAGTTTCCCCCCTTCCAAGATCGTTTATCCTTATCATCTATCTCTGCTTCCTCCGCCTCATCTTGGGTATTCTGCACGTTTTCCTTCTCTATCATTCGTTTTTTCTTAGTAAATGGATCGTCATGGTAGAGTCCCTATTGTGGAAGAATTCCAGCTTCTGCATGATCGTTTCGGTTTCTTAACAAAGCATGATGTAATGATTCTGGCCAAGGCGGTACCAATCCATGACTACCCTCAAGGGAAGGTGGGAGTTTCGATCCCTTTATTCGAAGCACGGATGCGCTTGCCAACATCTGAACTGATTTGTGGACCACTATGGCTTCTCCGTTGACAAGTTGACTCCGATCACCGTCAATAAAATCATTGGTTTTGAACTGATTTGTCGATATTTGGGTTGTATACCTACCTTCTGGGTTTTCAGCTACTCCTTTTGTTCGACTATGAATTTTGGTTTTCATACTTTGGCAAAAGGTGGGGCGTTCATTAGCTAATCTCTAAAGAAGACGTCCCGAAGAAAAATTGGCAAAGGCAATGGCTCTGGGTTAACCGAGACCTTGTGGGGCCTGGGTATCACAAAACACAAGACCACTCTGATCGCATTCCCAACTTGTTTGGGAGCAACCTCACCCTCGGCAAACGACTACGCGACATTACAATTGTTTGACAGAACTGGGAGGATTCCGTTCTCGTTGCGGCTGGTATGAGTGCCGCCTGGCGAGCCCGTGGGAAGATGTCTAAATTGTTCTTCGTGAGACGCAGTATTCTTTTGTTTCATTCTTCTTCCTTTCCCCCTTTTTTTTAAAAAAAAAAAGAGGAAAGGGGAGGAGGAGCAAGGTATCTGATGAGTCCTTATATTCAATTCTAATTTGTGCAGGTGCTGAAGCCGAGATTTATTTGGAGATGGCCTTGCGCGGCTACTATCGAGGTAGGCTCTATCATCGGGAGGTTGATCTTGTAGAGGATCTTCCCCATGTTGTATCTGAAAGGCGTATGCGAGAGCTAGCTGGGTTGCTCTCCGTGGAAGGGGAAATGTTGGTTCTAGCAGGCATGAGTTGCCTTCCCCACTGGCCGTTGCAGCCACTTCCTCGGCTCGTCCACTGAATTCTATCCCTCCTTGTTTGCTTGCAGGTGCACAAGTTGGGAGGGTTACTGCTCTTATCTGGAAAAGGCAAACTATGCGTGTGGTGCCATCGTCGGATGAGGAGACAGAATCCGATGATGTGGGTCTTCGTCCTCGTAAAGTGCGCATTACTATATCTTTGAGCAGGCTTCTTGGAAGCATCGGGGATGTTCTTGGCAACAAGTTCTCGACATCTGTGCAGAAGAAAAAAAAGTGGTAATCCCTGATTCTGCGACGTCACCTCCTATATCGTCAGCTACAGCTTCCCCGATCAATCTTAGTTCTGACTCCACATTTGGGAGTGCATTGGGTTCACCCGGGGTTCCATTCAGTCAAAGAAGCCTTTAGCGGAGGGCGAAATAGGAACTGCGCCTAGCTCCTCATGCTCCAAAGCTTATGCCCCAGGCTGGGCAATTACTAGGAATATTTTACTATCGGATGATACCAATGCCCAGGAATAGAGTGTTTATGCTCATTCCCTGGCTACGATGAGATTTCTTACAGGCAAGTCTGGGGTCCAAGTTGTTGGTGACCTTCGTTATGTTGCGGCCTAGGATGCAACTCTGATGGTTGCAGTCGCCGAACGGGTTTGCGGTGTCCGGGTGACCGAAGCGCGGATGAGGCCTTTACGCAATACCATTGTAAGCCTGAAGGAGGAACTCCATGATGCAGAGACTGAGCGTCGCATTCTCTCTGAGCAGAATTGTGTGGTGGTCAGCAAGAAAGCCATTCTGAAGGAGCATGTGCTCACTCTGGAGGACCAAGTGGAGCGCCTCGAGGATCGAGTAAGCTTTCTGAAGCAAGAAAAAAACATGTTGGCGAGCAAATTGGCCCAGTGCTAGCGTCAACTGGCTTGAGCACGTGTTGATGGTGCCATTGCTCGAGGTGAATTACAAAGGGTGCTAGAGAAAGGAGTGATTCATGCGATTGATAGAGTCATTGAGAATATTGAATTCTCCAAAGGGGTCCACGATGTTTGTGAGGCTTGTGAGGAGCTTGGGTTCGAGAAGGGGAGACAATTGGTTGGGTGCTCCACGTCTTCAAGTAAATCTGAAGTTCTAGGTCCTAGCCAAGTGGCAAGCAGAGCCAAGGAAGTCAAAATTGCCCTTACGTCTTTTGTCGAGACAGATTTTGCTGACCTCTTTCATTTAGGGGAGTTAGATTATGATGGCTTCCGCCAATTTATGGCAAGCAGAGCCCGAGAGGTTCTTCCTCAGACTATGAGGGCTGATTTGTATATGCCCCTTGTTGGTTTTGAAATTGATGTTCCTTCCCAAGCACTGTTTGCAAGGGGAGGGATTGTGTATTTTGTCATGCATTGTTACGGAAGTGCTCTCTTACTTTTTACTTTTGTTGTATGTATGTGTATGTATATTTTGATTTTTCCTATAATAAATTCACGTTATGTTTGTTCAAAGTTTCTTCTATGATTTTTTTTTGTATACTTTCCCTTGTTCTAGGGTTTACGTCGTATTGGCTAGTGTGCCACAAACGTTGCATAGCTGCTACTACTGATCTATGGTTTGTTGATTCGTGTGTTCAGTCAAGCTTAATGTGTTGAGCCGCGAGATGTTAGCCACTATTGAGGACTGTACTGTATGGTCTAACTGCCAATACATAGGCCAAGATTGTTACCTCGAGTATTTATACTGTTATATTATCAGGGGAAAGGTTATGAACCTTTTAGAACTCATTTTTCTTGTGCCTTGAAATTTGTACATTCTCAGCTCTAAGATGTTATCAACACATTGTGGGTAAAGATTATGACTCTTTTAAGACCTACGGTTGCCTTCTTGCATAGATTTGCTCAAGTAGCGTAGGTGATCATCCATTGTTGCTACTTGGAAAATATGCACAACCTCTTTACTTTTTGCAATTTAAACAGAATTATGGAAGGCTCTTTCGAAATGAAAATTATAAAAGAAAGGATAAAAGTTGCTAGACACTTGGTATCTAAGCGTCAGGGTGAAAGCCCGACTTTCAAGTCAGCACCGGAAGTATGGTTATCCTATACAGAGTTAGACCATTCTCCCTGTTGGGCGGTGGTGTCCTTTACTTTGTTGCTATTTGAACAAAATTCTGGAAAGCTCTTTCAAAACACAAGTTGTATTAATCTTTTAGAATGGAAGAAAGGACATAAGTCAATAGACACTTGATATCTAAGCGTCAAGGCGCATGTCTGGCTCTCATGTCAGCGCCGAGAGTATGGTTATCCTATACGGAGTTAGACCTACTCCATGTTGGGCTGTGACGTCTTTTCTTTGCCGGATGTAGATGCGCCTTCATGGGTCGAGGCTTCCTCTTGCTTCCCCTGGCGAGGCCTGGTGTGGGGGAACAATGCATCGCTTTACATGTTTTGGGGTTGTTGTCGCCTTCCTTTCTCTTTGACCAGGTGAGCACTATAACTGTGGGAGTCGCCTCCCCTTGACTGGGTGAGAGTTCCATCTATGGGGTTCTATACACCTACTCCATAGGTAGTGTGTTGAGTTACCAGAGGAGCTATTTTGTTTTCCAAAGGCCTGTGCTGGTGCTCTTCTTTTGTAAGTCTTGCACGCCATAGGGAACAACATTTTGTTTCTATTGGTGGTATTTCTTGTGCTCGCCTCCTCTGTTCTGAGGAACTTTGGTTCACGTTTTCCATTAAACAAGGTTTGTTCTGGATCCAAAATTGCTCTTGGGTAGGGCTTGGCAAGAGTGTCAATTATCGGCCCAAGAGGTACATTCGCCTATGGGCGAGCGTTTCTTTGCTATGTATTTTGCACCTCATATTTTGGCTGAGCAATCCTTTGATTAGTGTTAGTTTCTTCCTATGGAGGAGGGGTTGTAAGCTGACTAAATACGACTCCCTGTCTCTTCCTTGATTCATGGGTCGACACTCGTGCTTCAGCAGATTCCCTGCGAGGGGTCTCTGTCTTTTGGTGACTGCTGTTTTGACGCAATTGGGTTTTCAGCCTTGCTTCTTGTTGAGTATCACACCTGTTGGCTGGCTTTGTCGCTATTATCATGGTTGATCCTTCGCTTGTGCTGAATTTGACGATGCCGTGGATGGTGGATGGAATTGCTCGCAACTGGAAAAGCACGGGGCATCCTAAGAGAATGTTGTGTTCCGCCGAGCAGTTGACAACTGAGAAATCGAGCACCCTTGTTATTTCCTTTTCCGCATCATGGCTAACTAGAGTGAATGGAAGTCTGACTGTTCCCGTTGGCTAGATGCGGTGACCAGTGAAGCTGAATAGCGGGCCCTGGCGCGGTGGTTGGAGGTACTCTTTCCTTTCGATGGGCAGTTGACTAAGGTAGTGCTCGTAAATCACGTTGACTCAGCTTCGGTTGTCGATGTAAACTTGTTCAACACAGTGTCGACTAACGAAACCGGTAATGTGCAATGGATCGTTGGGATCCCAATTCTCTAGCCTTGGGTCATTCATCAAGAGTGTTATGTTGAGGATGTTTTGCTGGTATGGCCTTGCATCGGGATATCGACTCTGGTGGTTAGTGCATGGGCGGGGCCCGATGATGCTGAGTATCTTTTCCCTTTTATCTCGGTCTCTCCCTCCATCTTTTTGATTTTTGGGTTGATGTTTATCCTCGTCAAATTTTTCCCTGAGATCTTTTGCTATATCAACAATGTTTCCTACCATATGTTTTTCATCAATCTCCCTCTTTAGAATTGTACACTCGTTTGTATCATGAGTTTTGCTTTTTATGGTACTCATAGAACTTAGGCTTGTCTTTGTTTTCCTTGGTTGGGGACTTGTTGATCGCGTGAACGTCGATATGACCGATTTTGCCATCGTCCTGGTAGAACGGTTTGTACCTCCTAGACATATGTCGGGGGTGACGATTATGCCATTGCTAGTCGCCATCTTGCCTTCCATGCTGGGTCGAGATTAGCTGCGGCCGTCTCCTCCTGCTTTGCATATGCATTGACTATAGCTTTGGTATTGGCCTCTTTTCGCTCTTCCCCATTGATTTGCCTCAGGTAATTTTCAACACGGAACTTGAGTTCATCCCGGGATCAGAGAAAAATTCCATGTATCTTCTTCGATAGGGGCCCTGGGAGTAAACCTTGGGCGAAAGCACCTATTACCAAGAACTCCTCATGTCCTGGAACATTCAATGTCGCCAACATAAATCGGTCATAATACTCACGGATTGATTCCCCCTCTTTCTGCTTGCATGCCATTCCAGTGCTTGCACCCCCTTGCCTTTCCTCAATTGCATGAAATTGTTGAGGAAAAGGTATTTCAGTTTCTCAAAGCTGTAGATGCTACCTGGCCTTAGAGATTTGAACCACTTGCCATCGTTGCCAGTGAGGGTGCAAGGAAAATAAGTGCAAGTGAAGCGACGATCCATCTTAAGGGACGTCATCATCCATTCATAATTGTCAATGTGGTCTTCTGGATCTGTAGTACCGTCATATTTGGGCATGTGTGGGATCATCGTCCTGTGCATAATTTAGTACTGCAGTAGCTCGTAACTGAAATTAGAGCTGGCACTTCGCATGGGATTGTCCATGTACGAGGATAACATCCCACTATAAGCCATGTGTTGTTGTATTTGGTATGGTCTTGCATACATCTGGTTATTCATAGTCACCGACAAGATATATGGCTGATATAGAGACACGTCTGGTATCGGCCTGAATTTCTGGATGTTGTGTTGCCTTATTCGGGGAAGCGTGTATGAGTGCGCTCATGCGTATTGCTGCACATTCGGGTTGCACGGTTGAGCAATTGATACGAGAGGGTTGACTTCGGATTGAATTGGGATTTGAACATTAGATTCAGAAGAACTGGTCCTTGACCCACCTGGATCTGCATGCTTGCGACTTGTTGTTGAGTCGATGTGTGGATTAAAACTGGGATCTGATGCAGATATAAGTAGAAGATTAGATGTTGTTGCATGTAGGGCGGCATATGGGGCAAGCCTGCCATGGTGGTGTGTGGGTAGATCGTGGAGGAAGTTTGCGGATGTGTTTGGATGTTGTGAGGGATCCAAGTCCCAGTTTCGGTAGTGTACGGGAGAGACTGTGTTGTAGGACAAGGGTTCCTATTGGTTGTGTTGCAACGATTTGCGGAGTTGTAGTTACGATTTCAACTTGTGGGATTAGATCGGTTGTAGGGCACTATAGATTGGCTATGTAGGCCGCCACCGTTTAGACTGTAGAACTGGACAGTGGCTATGAGACTGGTGTGAGGTTTGATGCGTGTTCTTCATGAACGGATGGTTTTCCGCCCTCTAGTGACTGCATCGGACGCAACCGACTTTTCTCCAATGTGCCGACCACTATTGGGATTTCACCTGCCATTTTTGGTGTGTGGATTTGTTTTGTGAGTGTATCGCTGTAGAGATACACGCGGATGATGAAAAATGTGGTGATATGTTGGAGACGGTTATGCAAAGATTGTTGGTAGGTTTAATGTTGATTCCCTCTCTTGATATCACAGTACAAAAATGAAAGGTAGATTGTTAGTCGTCGTCCGGGAGGGATTCCCGGAACGAGGCTCCGACGATCTAGTTAGTGTTTTCTCCGAGAAAAGAAAGAATGTTCAATTGAAAGAGAGTCCTCCCTTCTTCACGAGGAATAAGGAACCTTTTATACCTGGTTTCAGAGGCATGTGGTCCTCAACAGATTCTGTTGGACATTCCTTCGTGGGGTGTGACGTGGCGGACTCCTACTGGAAGATCCTTCGTCACGTCCCTTTTTTCATCTTCTCCTCATTGGCTAGAGGAGGATCTTTTAGTTATTATGAAGATCGTGATTATCGTCTGACGAGCACGTGGGACGCTTTGTATGGTCCCATGCTCGTCGGGATGTTATCCCTTGGTTAAGAGATTATAGCGTTGTTCTGCACCATAACTCTCACGCCTATGTCTTTCGTGTTGGCAAAGGCCCGGCCTTGGCTTCGTACTTGGTCCAACTGAGTTCAAGTCAGGCCAAGCTCGGTACTAGTTTTGACCTTTCTTTTTGACGTTCCCTCCGAGGGATACTTTACAGAACGTATATGGTTGATGGCGATATACAAAAACTAAGACGACAAACAAACGTACTAAGCACGCTTTAAAAAGTATCAAACGTATTTCATTCAAAAGCTTAAAGAAAAACCTTGCAGTTTCAGACATTGATTTCAAAGTGATGCAAAGGGTGAGATAACCTATAAAATATAATATGAATATATTAAGGAAATTTCATTATTGAGCAGAAATCATAGAAAGAATATCAAAAACCCTTTATATACCTTCATCCAAAAATTCAAAATTGTGTAATAAACTCCCACCAAAAGATCTTGAAAACCAAGGTATTGTCTTAAAGAAATGATGAAACATAAAAATGAAATATAAATGTGATCAACTTATCAGAAAGTGTACAAAACTTACGGTGCTCTGTCCAACTGTGTAACAAACTACAAAATAAAAATAAATTTAGGATTTTAAATCCAGCCTAATCAAAATCTATGAAGAAATATAATCGGAGTTAATAAAGAAGAAAATAATAGAACCATGTGGGTATACTCTCGAGAGGAGCAATTGAAGGTCCTCCATGAAAAGACCTACAATCTTCTGGTTTCCTTTTTTTATTTGCCAATCAGAAGCTTGAGAAGAGTAGGCGGTGACGATGGAGCATGTGAAGGGGAGGGGTTTACATGGAACTCTTTAGGGAGGGAGAACAAACATCAATGATAAGTGATGAGGTGGTGGCGGAGGTTGTGGAGACCGACCAATAAAAAAGGGAACAAGATAAACATTTGAAATTTAAGTTGAGCTAGATGTAACGTCCGCAGATTCAGGCTAGTCAATTTAGAGATAATAATCGTTAAAAATGACTTTTAGATAGAAGAATATTTAGGATAAATAATCTTAGCCAAATTTATAGTATATGTTGTACATATAAAGAGCAATGAAATCCGACTTATAACGAAGAAGTTATGACTTGAAGTTTTACAATTAAACCGGCACGGCTCCGCATATCGTAAAAACTAAACTTTTGACGAAATACTTTTTAGACTAAGCAATTTAAACGAAAGTCATTGTATATGTTAAACCGAGAGCATGAATATAAAGAACATCTAAATCTGTCTTCGTTAGAAGAAGTCATGATTTTTTTTAAGATTCAGTGTAGCAGTATACAACATGTAAATGGAATTTTAGATCGACTGATTTTTATTCGACACAACCTAAACGAGAAATGAAAATCTCATTAATAGGAGCTCAACGATACAAAGACAATCGAAATGGAGCTCGTATGCGAAATATATGGACGAAACTTAGTCCCTACTTTTCAATCACGGTGAATTCGATATAGATTTGTAAATCTGAGATAAAATGAGAATTAGCCTTTGGAGTCTAAATGAAAGTTGTAGAACTTGTAAAAACCAGCAGGTAGATATAAAGAACATTGAGAATAGAGATCGTATGTTAAAGATATAGAGGAAACTTAGTCCCTACTCTTCGAGCAAGATAAATTCGATACATATTTGTAAATTTAAGATAGAATGAGAATTAGCCGACGGGGTCTAAATGAAAGTTGTAGTACTTGTATATAACAACACGTTGATATAAAGAACGTAGAAAATGGAGCTCGTACGCGGAAGATACAGACGAAGCTTAGGGCCTACTATATGATCAAACCCCTATAAATAGAGGATGAATTCTTCATATTTCCTTACACAGTTCCTCTAAACTTTATCTAGAATTCTTCTTTATTTCTTGTTTGATTTATCCTAGTTTTAGGGTGCAATAGAGAAGCTCCTAGTTGTCAAAAAGCCGACGAAAGAAGTTTTTAGAGTCAGAGTTCTGCCTTTTTTAATTTCCCGGTTTTCTTTAAAAGTCCGGTAAGTTAAGCTACACTATTCTGTTATCAGTGTAACTTATATTTATAGTCATAAGTTGTTATTATGAACCTATAAATAAGATTTATCATAAGTTGTTATTATGAACCTATAAATAAGATTTATCAGTGATTTAGTGTTGTTATATTTATTGATCTACGTACCGGGACGATGTCTAAGTTGTGATTTAGTGAGGTGTTTAAAGTGAGATTTTCAAACAGTATGCTTTGTATACCAAATGGACCCTACCTCTGATATGAACCTAACTGGTTGTTCCTTACTTGATATATCATGAAAGTAGACTTTGAGTTAATGATAAATCTAGACTAATAATTAGTCACATTAAATATTAGATTAAAACTTAGTGATAATAATACTAGGTTACGTCAACCGAAAAGACAATTGTTAGAAGCGAAGTGTTGTCCGAATTACAAACCATCACTTTAACAAGTGAGTGCATAGTCCCTTTAATGAACATGATTTTAATACAAATATTAATTAAAGTATTAAATATATGTTTATGTCTGAAATATTTGATATTGCTTGAAATACGTGTTAAGAGCATATATGATAATATATGATGATTTAAAAGCATAATAAACCTAAATTAATTAAGATGAATATCGGGTAATTTCTCATTATGAGTACGGGTGAGATATACACGTAGGGTAGAACCTTAAAAATTTGTCATTGATCCGAGAGCATGGATTAGGTCATCATTTGTCCTTAGTCCGAGAGTATGGAGTGGGTGTCCTTAGTCATTTGTCATTGATCCGAGATCATGGATTAGACATACCTGGTTCGGGAGTAAGGATCGTGTCGTTGTGGGGATCGACAGAGTAGGGTAAAATTGCTTATATAAGGTGAAATTGTATATTGTGAGTTCTAATATATATATATATATATATATATATATATATATATATATATATATATATATATATATATATATATATATATATATATATATATATATCATTGTGGGATTGAAATCCCTATGTACTTAGTAGGTTTCCCAACCTGGCCCACCTAATTTATTGTATCACAGATAGCTATACGAAATATACATTACGGCGAGAGATTCAAGGAGTTTTAAGCCACTAGTTTAATTATTATAAGGCTTGTAATATTTCGTTATTCTCATGTTTCTATATTGACAATGACATTCCAATGTTTTAAAATAAACACTACTAGAAAATAGGTCTTTAATAACGCGTAAACAATGACACGCAGTGATTTACGATACGCAAAAACGTGTGCCCTAAAAATAATACCATCTCTTATAAAATTTGAAGGATAGACAACACACATTTGTGCGTACCCTAAAATGTGTGTGGGAAAAAGAAAAAAAAGACATACGGAGGACGCTTATAATAAACTATTTGTCGTGTAAGTGCGTTGCTTTATATTTTTTTAATGAAACATGCCTTTTAAGCGGAATGAAATCCCGAAAAATTAAAACCCCGCCTATTCGATGTGAAAAATTAAAGCCCGTAGCTCCTCTTCAAATTAGCATGAAAGAAGCCTAGGTCTTCGTCTTCCCCTCTCTCTCTCTCTCTCTCTCTCTAAACCTAAAACCCAACCTACGATTTCATAGAGATTGTTATTACGATTTAAGAAGCAAAGAAGAAGACAAGCAAGGACAGTATCATTGACACAATTTTCAAGTTTATAATCTCTTCTGACCAAAAATCAAGTGGTTCCCGAAGAGGTTGTAGTGACACAGTTTCAGAGATTGGGTCTCTATCTAGGATTTAGTCCAGATCCGTGTCACCATCCAAAGAATCCAAACTTGTGGCAAGATGTCAAAGTTTTCAAGAAAGACCTCAAGCTCAACCACTCCTTCTTCCAGTTCTTCACCCTTCGTGTATGACTCGTACCGAGTCTGGACTCAGTGTATCCGGAAAACAAAAACAAGAAAAGGGCTCCAAAACGCCTCCCTTTCTTCCACTCCCACATACACAAACTAGACCAGATGCACGCGATTTTGATGGAGCAGATTCTGTTTTTAGTGAATGTTATAGTGATAGTGATGATCCACCTGATTCAAGCCAGCTTAGCCCCTTGGCATCTGATTATGATACCGGGAGCCGAAGAACCGCAGGCAGCCCTTCCAAGTAAGCATATTTATAAATTTTGAAATTAAAAAAAAAAGAATGCATTAAATCTTGTATATGACTGATTCATTGTATGTTTCTCTTTTTGTTTATGAAGTATGATTGTTAAGGATCAGTTGCCTGTGACTAAAAGGGAGGTACCAAAACTAGATGATCATCTTTTTGATAATCACATCTCTTCACCACCTAAAAAGCCTTTAAGAAGTCATGTCCCAAATCTTCAGGTCCCCTCTCATGGTGCGTTCTTCTGTGCTCTGGATTCTTCCATATCAAGTCCTTCTAGAAGCCCCTTACGTGGATTTGGAACAGAGCAAGCTATAAATCCAGCTTTCTACACCTCAAAACCTAATCCAAATTTCCCTTTTCTTGGATCTGGATCGGGTCACTGTTCTAGCCCTGGTTCGGGTCAAAACTCGGGTTATAATTCAATGGGAGGTGACATGGCAGGGTTGTTTTGGCAATCAAGTAAAGGTAGCCCAGAGTGTTCTCCACTTCCAAGTCCTAGCTCTAGAATCCATAGTGGGGCAGTGACACCACTTCATCCAAGGGCAGGGGGAGGGGAAAATCGGACTAAAATAATAAATATAACAACATTATCACCTTCTTGACATCGGGTCACCTCATTCATCAATTCAAAGAAGCATGTATCTAACTCCATTAATTCACTCTTGACCATCCTAAAATCCTTTCCCAGTTTAAATGAATGCTATTGATATTTTTAGGTAATTATATTATACTTTTTTTTTTCTTTTTAGTTTATTGAAATTTGGTTCTTTTAGTTTCCAATTAATACGAGTTAATTTCCAACAGTTTGGAAGTAATACCCTTCTAGTACATGTGGTTTAGGGTTCAATTAATTTAGGAGATTCCTTTTAGTTTCTGATCAAAAGATTAAAATTCCGTTATTGCCCTTCTAGGATATTTGGCAATTAATGGAAGTTAATTCCCAACATTTTTGATGGCTCCAAGGTGGTGTTCACAAATTGTCATAATTAATTATGAATGGATCAAGAATGATCTTACTTTCTGCTGTAATAAATTTTCTTTTTATTTCCACAAACAACATCATGTACTGTATATATGTTTTTTTTTTTTTTTAATTTTGGTTAGTTTGTCCATATCCTATTATTTTTTGGTATGATTGAATCAAAGGAATGCAATGGAATGTTTTATCGGATTACCTTACTCCTGAAGTTGAGGTTGAAATGTATGCTCAAGTTGATTCCCAAAATATTAATCTTGATGTTTATGATGACAAAGCAACACCAAAGCATGTGTATATATGTCCCTGTTTTAGTTTTCCATGTAGTGCGCAACTCAGGCCCTCAATGCAACATCTTAAACAACCCAAGAAACAGGTACTTCAATCTCTCTTGGATCTCTTTAAAATTCATGCAACATCTAGTATATTGACTGATTTGATTCCGGAATGTGAAAAAAATACTAGAATCGTGCTCTGCAGTGATTGATTGTTCTGCATACATCTTCATTTGGTACTGTTCTTTCACCAACTTTTCTTCATGTTGCTGAAGCTTTAAGTCTGCAATTTGGAGTTCTAGAGATTCCAGCTTCAACTGCATGTATCAATATCAATATGACTTTTACAAAAATAAAAAAGAGAAATTCCATTCAAGTTGCTTTGCATTAATTATAAGGAGTTTCCTGTTGAGTATATTGTTGGACAGTAAGAGCATTGTGCTCCTCCTTTTGCTTCAATTGGTTTCTTAACCTGAACAACATTTGTGATAAAACAATATTTTCAATAAATTTGGCATGGAAATGGAATATATATATATATATATATATATATATATATATATATATATATATATATATATATATATATATATATATATATATATATATATTATTCTCCTTAAGTTGAGTCAGGCTGTTACTCCTCCAGCTTATTTGTAACGTTCTATAACACACAAACAAAAAGTTAGGTCTTCCATTGAAGGGTTGGCCTCTAACTGTAAGTTTCCTATAGAAGTTTCTTTCAGTAATATATAAAATTTCATAGTTTACATTGGGGTTGACATAAGAATACAAATGCAGGGAATTGACCAACTACACCCTAGTATAGGTCTTCAAGTCCATAAACCCAATTTATAGAACCCAAATCAATTTTATTTGGCATCACAACAACAACAGCAACACCAACATCAACAGCAATAGCAAGTATTAGCACATGCTCGGGCACAAGGAAAACTGGGTGCATCACCAAATTACGGATTTTCTAGATTATCAAGAGGCAATATAATCATGAAAGATGGTGAACCGTTGAGAAACGAAGGATCTAATAGCATCTTCAAGAATGCTAAGGTACTTCACACTTTTTTTTAATATTACAAATATTTTATATTGTAAAATAATCTTTCATGTTTTCTCAAAACATTGAGCGCCTAAAGAAGTACTTTGATATATGTGGTGGTCCAGCAACCTTTATTCAGGTGCTTCTTTTATATTTCTTTTTAGATTGAATGCTTTGTGTAACTTCCACATTGTGCACCTTAAGTTATCCCCTAAATTCCATTTTCATAAGTTTTCTAGGTTTAAAAAGATTAAGAAAAGAGGAAGTCATGGATCCTAAAAATGACCCACTCAGTAAAAACAAACCCACTCAGTAGGAAAATGTCCCAGCTTTGGTGAGTTTTTTTGTCCCAGCTTCTGGGTACATGGAATTTTTTTATTTTCATAAATGAATTAATCAGAATGACTCAGTCGATATTGCCTGCTTCATGATCAGGTGCCTCTCTTTATCTTGTCTGTTTGTTCTATCAATCAATCTCAGGCTATCAATCTTTTGGGTATGATGCAATTAGTCAACTTTGTTCATGTTTGGGATATGTGTGTCTATGTGTATAATGTCTGAGTGCTTTTATGTAGTTGGGTGAAATGAGACTTTTTTAGTTTTTCAATCCACAAATCTATCTGATGCAATGGATATTATAGGTAAACAAGAATAAAATCCCGGAAACTGCTAGAAATTGGTTCATTTCTATTAAGCATAGTCAACGTTGGAAGATGCCATGTCACATATATAACAGTTATTTTATCGTTTCCACTTTTTTCATTATTTTAAATTTTATCTGGAGTGTAACGGGTAGTGTTAACTCTTAAATACCTTTGTTCACAACCCAACTCAACTCAATCTTTTATTTTGGAGCTTTTCCAAAAGCTTATTGGGTCAAATAAGCTATGAAAAGTCAAAAGAGCTATGGTCAACATTCCTTTTCTTTTTCTTATTATTTCTTCTTAACCTTGTTTTTCTTTATGTTCCATTTATAGTTACTTCCCAGGATTAAATTGTCTTCAACGAGACTTTCCTTGTAACAGGAACACAACAACACCTTGTAAGTTGCTCATTATTTATTTCCATTCTTATCTTCTCTTCATTATTTTCATCCCAACTTATATTTTTTTCCTTTTTTTTAATTAATAGTCTTTTTTAATTAATTAATAATCTCTGCCTGGAACTGTGGTAAGTCTTCATATTCTAACAAATCTTTCCTCAAATCCTCTTCTTTTGCCTACTCTTTTCTAAATTACATCAAGATGGCACTCAGTGAAAATCCCAAATCCGCTTACAAGTCTTCTTCTTTTGTCCGTTCTTCTAAAAATGAAGCTTTAGATACATTGTATGTATTTGTACTTGGTTGTAAATCGTATATTTTTTTATATACGAGCTATATAATCAAAGCCAGAATGTGAGTTCTAATTTTTTTGTTTGAATGAGAGAATAGTAAATGGAAACATCACATAGGCATGGACATAATGACTTATTATCCCAAAGTTTTGGTATATTGTTATAAAAGTAGCATGATTTTGATGGCATAGACAGCTTGGTCATGTACTATCTCTAAAGTTTTGAAAAGAAAATCTATATATTTCTTTCTCTTCTTCCATGTCATAATCTCATAATTGAAAAAAAAAACATATTTGTCTACTTTCCCACAAAGAAATGCTACTTCTTGCATTATATAACTGGTATTTTGACTGTAAAAAGTTTGTACAAACCCAAATCCTGGTATTCTTGCAAAAACATTGTGAAACTCAGGTTCCACAAGAACATTGATGTTCTCTTGCTTTAATCGAGCTAAATACAAGAAATAGCTATGTAGTTTCATTTTCATATATTGGTGTATTATATTTAAAAGTTATAAAATAATAATATAATATAATATCCCCTGATGCCAGGCTTACACTGTGCTGGAAATGAACTACACTGACAAGTAACTAACAACAACTGTTGTGTCTAACGGGTTAAGACTTGGTCTTGCAGGGACTGAATTAGGTGCACCACCAAGATTACTATCTATGCTACAAAGATGCTGGGATACTGACATGCACAATAGGCCTTCATTTGATGATTTCATCTCCAAACTTGATCTCAGCATGGTTTTTCCCTATTGCCTTTAACATGCCTCTAAAAGATTCTCCTATTCTTATGTATTTGCTTGGTAATTTGTGTTTGGTTATAAAATTACACAAATTACCATTTTACCCCTGCAAGATATGCTTATATTTACTTCCTAATTGGATGTGATACTTTGTGTAGGGTTGGAAGGAACTGGAACTGGCCTTGTTGTACATGAGAAAGCTCTTGGAAAGTAAGTTGAATTTGGCTAAGTCATTATTGAGTGATATGGGCCAATGTACAACTGCTTATCCATATAATCAGTTGTTTGGAGCATTAGTCTTAAAAAATTATGAAAGGCAAGATGCAACTTTACTTAGTTGGAATTTGATGTACATAGTAGATTAGATGCAAATTTATATATTGTAGGAGATAGAATTGTATGACATTAAATGCAATGGATTCTATTTTTTGTATATGATATTTATTTTCAATTATGAAACATTAAATACAAATTTAATTTGAAAATAAATAAATCTATAAATAATTTTTTTTTAAACATTTAAAATTATGATACGCAAAAATGTGTGTCATCTTCATTTATGACATGGTCTTTCTTGACAGGGGCATTCTTGATACGCATTGCGTGTTATTAACACGCGCATCGTAAGGTTACGACACGCGAATGCGTGTCGTCTTCCTTTATAACAGAGCCTTCCTAGATACGCATTGCGTGTCGTAAATGAGTGTCGTAAATGAGCGTCGTAAATGCGTGTCGTCTATAGACGACGTGCAAAAGCGCGTCGTCTCTCTTTATGACAGGGCCTTCCTTGACGCGCATTTGTGCCTCGTCTGAGCCTTTTACGACGCGCAATGAGCGTCGTAAAATGCTGTTTTTCTAGTTGTGAAATAAATACATTTTTTTCAGAAATGCTTTGATTATATCATTATGATGCTTTTTAGGAACAAATTTTGCAATATTATTCTTTAAAAAAAGGATACTTTGATTTTAAAATAAGCATAAATAAATTTTTTAAAATTACCGTGAATTTGGGGATGTCACAGTTGGTATCAGAGCATTAGTTTAAGCAAACTATAAATTTTAGGAAATTTCTAGATTTAAACTTAGAAATGCTAAGTGATGATTGTAAGGAGTGTCTCTATTATATTTTAGGTAGTACACCTGAATAGACACGTCACTAGCTTATTTAGGGAAGACGCCTAAATTGCTTTTATGTGCTAAATGATTTATGCTATAAGATGTCTTATATTATTTATGATGTTATCATTTGATCAGATCTATGGTCTAAAATGTGGTTTTTGTAACTTGTCCTCAAGTTATATGAAAAGTCACATTTAAGATTCATAAAACTCATAAATATTTCCATAGGTTATGAAAAAAGAAAAGTCATATTCGTTTAATAGTTTAAAGTCTTCCATAACTTGTCCTCAAGTTATGGAACTTGAAGAGTTATTTAATTAAAACTACTTTAAACTCATAAGTTATGGAATTGAATAGTTTTGAATTTTTTCAAAACTTGCCCTCAAGTTTTGGAATTTTTAAGGTTTTCCCTTTTGAATACTTTAATTCCAAGTTAAGCCCTTAGAATTTTAAAAGTTAAAATTAAACCCTTGTACTTTATAGTATTATAAGTTATATATATATATATATATATATATATATATATATATATATATATATATATATATATATATATATATATATATATATATATATATATATATATATATCTGTGTGTGTGTGTGTATATATATATATATGTATGTATGTATGTATGTATGTATGTATGTATGTACAAGAGCAAGTCAATCTTACCATTAGTAGGCCTCATTCACGAAGCCGGTCTATAAGGGCGGGGGGGTGGGGGGGGGGGGGGTATAAGGTTGCTACCTATAAAATGGCAATTTAATGGGTGTCCACTCTCACCCACCGCTTCCTTGACTGGTGGAGGGTCGTTAGCAGAACGGGTAGGACAAGGACTAGAATTCTCCCTTCATTAAAAGTATTAATGATAAATACTAAGTAACTAAACTTTTATAAATTACCAATCTTAGTTACTTAGGAAAATGTTAATTTGGTGCTTACCCATGAAATTACACTTTGCACTTTGCTTAAGTCGGTTAGTTGAGCACGTGTGGTTAATCGACACACTAGCTTGATTTAACAAGGTAGGAAAAGGGTAACTTAATGTTTATTATAGGATCGGTGGAGCACGTGTGGTTAACCGACACATTGATTGAGGGGTAAATAGTAAGGTTACCAATTATATTTGCATGGTTATTCACACCTTGTTTTGTGATCCTCGACATCCTGGTCACAAAACATGAGAGGGCACAATCGAGATTGAAACATGCCATTGAAAAGTTCAATGAATCTCAAAAGATCTAGGAGTTTCGAATCCAATTAAAACCTAATAAATTATTTCGTTTTTCATGATGGAAATTGGTGAATCGTCATTCACCTACCTTCAAATATTTTATAGCTTGGATTACGGCATCCCTCTTGTAAGTTATAAAATATTGTCTTGGGTCCTATCCTTAATATTTCATATTTTGTGTTATATTAAGGACTTAAAAAATCAACTAACTTTAATATCTCCCATTGTAGATATCTAGTTTAGACAACTATGATCTTCCCAAATCTCTTGGAACTTCACTTCCTCCACTTCCTCTAATTATTCTCCCTAACCCAAAAGTTTAAGGTCACTTAAGCCCTATTGGCAAGCAAGGTCTATGTGTGATCACATCTTGGAGATGAAGTCGCATATTGACAAGCCAGGAGAGTTGGGTGTCAAAGTCTTGAGAAAGTTGCTTATTCAATCACTTTCTAAGTCACATAGTAAGTTCCTTTGAGACTACTATGTAACAGACTATGACATGACCCTTAATGATCTTACCTATTTGCTTGGTGTAACGCCCGTAGATCTGGGCTAGACAATTTAGAGATGATAGGCGTCAAAAATTAATTTTTGATGAAAGATTATTTAGAATGAATAATCTTAACTAAGTTATAGTATATGTTACAAGGTTTCCGTGCATATAAAGAACGCCAAAATCCGAGTTATAACGAAGAAGTTATGACCTGTCGAAGTTTCGCGACAGAACCGGCACGACGCAGAATGACGTAAAAAGTGAATTTATGTTAGAGTGATATTTAGCCTTAACAATCTAAACAAAAGTCGTAGATTTCGTTAAACTATGAGCGTAGATAAAAAGAACGTCCAAATCTGACTTCGTATGAGGAAGTTATGATTTTTCTAAGTTTCGACTTAGCGGTATGTAGCCTGAATACTCGATTTGAGATCGAGCGGTTTTTAGCCGAAAGAATCTAAACGAGAATCAAAGATCTAGTTAATTGTTGGGAAACGATGAAAAGATAGGCGAAAACGGACGTCGGATAAAGAAGTTATGATTTTATAACGGAGTTTTCCTGTCCCGACCTACTAAAAATAAATAATAAAAATAAATTCAAAATTAGCCGACGGAGTCTAAACGAAAGTTGTAGAGCGTAGTCTCACCTATGCGGGGATATAAAGAACATCGAAAACGGAGTTGTTATGAGGAAGACATGAATTTTTGAAGTTTATTAAATATTTTCGATATTTAATTTAAATATAAATTCGATATTATCCGGAAGGGGGGGAGTCAGCGTTCTTATCCCCATTACGCCCAGCATAATTTAGAATTACGCCCAGCGTAATTCGTGTTCCATCCCCCTATAAAAGGGTGTCGAGGGCAACCGACTTCTTTGCTCATTTCTTCTCGTTTTCTTGCGTTTTTGCATCGTTTTTCGTGCAAGAATTATCACGAAGCCCCGGTATCATTCCCGAGCCCCGAAGCAAGTCCCGAGGCCCCGAAGATCCCGAGAAGTGTGATTCCCGAGCCGAAGCTCTGTCCGCGAGGAGCCCGGTTTTTGTTAAGATCTTTCAGATCTACCGAAGAATACTACCTCTACAAGTCGTAGTGTTGTCCGATCATCTTCTAATCAAGTGAGTGTGTGGTTACTTTCTTCTAACACATAATTATTAAGTATTTAGTATAAAATACATGTTATGTGTATATTTTTTTTGTTATATGCGTGAATGTATATTCACTTTCTTCTATCTCATAGATCTGATTTATTCTCTATGAAATACGTGTTATGTGGGTATGCCTCATCTGTTATGTGGAATAGGTATTGAATGAGAATGTTATACAGGTTTTAAACTATGTAGAAAAATACATATTTTTATCTACTAATATGTTGGGTAGAACATGGGTAGATAGTTGATGTGTGATAAACAGATGAGAGGTCCCGATGTTGTTGTTGTTGATCTAGTTATTCAGCGAGTATGGATTAGACCAAGAGGTGAGTTTTAGATCCGGGAGTATGGATCAGGTAAAGAGATATAACTTGTTATTAGTCCCCGGAGTATGGATTAAGACTAAGTTAATTGTCCCTAGTCCGGGAGTATGGATTGGGCACAGTTATTGATCCAGGAGTATGGATCAGATCAGGATTAGGGTATAGTTAATTGTCCTTATTCCAGGAGTATGGATTGGGTACAATTATTAATCCGGGAGTATGGATCAGATCAGGATGTTAGTTTTAGATCCGTGAGTATGGATCGGGGGAAAAGGTTAGTTTTAGATCCGTGAGTATGGATCAGGTAAAAAGGTTAGTTTTAGATCCGTGAGTATGGATCGGGTGAAGATAATAGTTTTAGATCCGTGAGTAGGGATCGGGTAAAGAGGAAAATTTTAGATACGAGAGTTTAGATCGTGTCGTTATGAGGATCGATGGGGGTGGGATAAGAGTTGCCTTTATATGGTGAAATTGTACAAGTTTGAATGCTCTATATTTATAAATATATGATATAACATTGTTGGATAAAAACCCTATATGCTCACCAGGCTCCCAAGCCTGACCCACTCAGTTTTTTTTGTATCACAGGTATCGATACGAAGACATATTTCACAGAGAGATTTAAAGGAGATATAAATCATTAGTGTAATTGAATGTAAGTTCTGTTTATGCTTATATGTCTGTATCAGAACATGACATCCCAAGGTTTTATTATTAATAAAAATACATTCTCTTTGAGAAATGTTTTGATAAGTTATTATCATATCTTGTTTTGGAAACAAATTCCGCAACCGTTTTCTTTAAAAGATTACTCTAATTTTATAAAACGAAGCATAAACAAATCGGTCTTTTCTGGCCGTGAAAATTGGGGATGTCACACTTGATGTTGTTAAATCAGCAATGATTTGGAGGACTAGTAAAGAAAATTTGATTAGAAGATCAACTTCCCAAACTTCCATGGACATTGACAATGGTAACATTGGAAATCCGGAAAAGCTTTCTCTTCCCAATGGAAAGGGATCGGCCATAGTCAACCCGATTG